AGAAGCCAAGATGGAGGCAGAGAGGAACCTCATGAAGATCATCCTGCCTGAACTCCAGCAGAGAATCTGGGAAGTCATGACAAAGAAACAGAAAGAGTTTGATTGTAGGATGGATGAAAAGGAGAGAGAGATAGAAACACTGAGATGGAGACTCAGAGAGGGAGTCAGAGAGAGAATCACAGCAGGAGGAGATGATCATCAGGAGGACACTAGAGGACTGTTTAGCAGATTAACACAGCGGCTCCTTTGTATGAGCGCTCGATCAGATCAGTGAGAGTGACTGACTTTCACTCATAGTAAATGCACTGATTTGATAGATTGTATCGCCTGATGGAAAAATGAGCTCAGAATGGATAAATTTGTCCTCTCAGCAATGAGAAACTCAAAACACATTTTAAAATGAGATCAAAACATTTTATTTTAAATCAGTAATTAAGAAAAATAAAACTTATTGTATTTAGGAATTTTATATGTCAGCAATGCAGCAAACACCTTTGAATTTTATTATCATATTAACTCTTAAATTTATTTTTAATTTTACTGTTTGTATCTCCCAGGATGAGAGACCTGATTTGGGTACATATTTTAAAAAATAAAAAATCTCTATATGGTACAGATCTCAAGACACATTTGCATCTTTATTTAGAACAGTATTTTTAGGGAAATGTTTTAACCCTTATTTTTATTCCCCACAGGAATACAGATATTATTCTATTACACTACTCTAAATGTACAGAAAAATATCTACACTTACCTCAAAGTCAGTAGCCTTGAGGCTGTATGCCATCATATTTGTTTTTGTTAAAGATGAGTTTGAAGTGTTGGTGTCAAATCACATGACGTGCTGGTATCTTAATGTATGTTGTCCTTGATGTAAATCTTCAATCTTGCCACAGACAGAGAGTCAGGGGACCTGGGTTCGCAGAAACTATGGTTTTATATGAAGATCTTTGTCCAGTCTGCCACCAACCCCAGGTTGGACCCAGGGCTTTTAACTCTGAATCTCCCCACCCCCAAGAGCATCATACAGAGCAGAGTGGGAGATTTGAATCCTGTTGTAAAAACCTTACTGCCGTAAAACGACCAGTGTTGATGTCGTAAACTGAGTGCTCCGCTCCTCTCCTTAGGACATGTCATAAGCCTGAGCTTGTTCAGTTTGATCAAAGTGCAGTGTGGAAAGCAGCTGAGTGAGATAATCAGATATCAGCTGTTCAGAGAGAATCACACAGAGAAGAGGAGAGAGAGCCTGGAGTGATAGAGAGGAGAGCAGGAGAGCTGAATGATTAGTAAGATGATTTGTAACGTATACTAAAGATATAATGTATATTCAGGGTTGGGTAGTACATGTAAAGATGTTACATTATCAGGATAAAAAAAAAACGTAACTATTCTTTTACAGTTACAGTAAAAAAGACAGTAATCAGATTACAGGCACGTTCTACAAATGAGGTGATTACCAGTAGGATTACATTCAAACCACATACATGTAGACTCGTCACCTTTTGTTTACTGTTTTAATGATAAATATGACCCTTGAATTGTGTAGATTTTAAAAGATTTTTTAACTTGGGGAAGAGGAGAGGAGGAGGCCGATGCCACCAGAAGAGATTTCTGAAGAATCCCCCTCCCCAGTAGCAGTTCACGGCCTTTTCTCTGCCAGTCAATAGAACTTTTAGTAAGCATTTTATTTTTGTCGTCAGAATGTGCAGCAATTTTCTGAAGATATTTGAGTCTTTTAACTCTGCCAGTTACCATATACCAGAGTTCCCTAGTCGAGCAGTACCATGCAGTGGAAAAGCAGCTTTAGTTTATTTGTTTATTTATTTATTTTTAGGATCCCCATTAGCTGCTATTGTGGTAGCCGCTATTCTTCCTGGGGTCTAGTAGACATAATATACATAACAAAAAACAGTGCGGTAACAATGAACAATATATGCCATCCAAACATGAGTAAAAAAGTAAGAAAAACAAAAAAAAAGACTGAGAGAGAAGAGTAAGACAATAGCTTTAGTGAACGTTAACTTGCCAGATTTTACTGCTGGAGTGAGCAAACATTAACGAACAGCTCTGAATCACAAAAAGAGAGTGAAGTCTCATGAGCAGCGAAGTTCGTTTCGTTTTCACAATGATTATTTCTTCCTTCAAAAGTTTTTGAATGATGGGTACAATGTGTTAATTTATGTAAATGTTCATTATTTGTAACTAGGACGATCACCTTCTTCTTACTTTTCGTGTGAAAATACTACCTTTTCAAACTCATAGTGCCTTTGAACTGAAACCATGGAGAGCTGATGTCTGTAAATCCCCATCATCAAAATCCAAGCACAACACACCATCATAAAAACCTTATGAGCCAAAACAGTCTTCAGTGGAGAGAACACAAATGATGGCCAGTTAGTTTTAGAATGGCATCTGTTTGTAATTATATTTAATGAGGGGTCTCAAATGAGATTTCTGCCTGATTGATCTTTTGACTTCAATATGATAAGCAACAGATTTATAACATATTAGGCAAAATCACAGGAGAGCACTATAGTTTTAAACTATATTGCATTTGTATGTTGAACTTGATGACCTGGATCATTCTTCAGCAATTACTTGTTTCCCTGTATTCCCTTTCAGTCTTCTTTCATTTTCCTGTCACACAGTTTTTTTTCCTTGGGAGTTGCCTTGATTTTTGAACTTTGCACTTTTTCCATGATCACAAGTGCACATGTACAAATTTGTCATCTTTATGTTTGAAATGTTTCCGGTATATTTGGTATTTCTCCACTTAGATTTGGCTAAACGTGAGATGAGTGACCGTTTGTGTGAGTCACAATATTTAAGTCACCTATAATCTATTATTCTGCTTCATGAAATACTGCAGTTTTTGGGTTTGCTTTGTGTTAAGTGAAATTCTCAGTGAAATCTCGAAAATGTTGTTGAAATTATTTTTAATGATTTTTATATTTTAACTGTACATGTTAAAAAAGACAAGTGATCCAAAAGTAACCAAAATAATCAGATTACATTACTTGAATATAGTAATAGTATAGTAAACATAAAACATTCAGTTTTAAACCGTAATTCTTGTTTATTAACTATATTAAAATCAGAGCATGACATTTAGCTTTCATTCTTGTTAGATGGAGTTTAAAGATTAGCTCAACAAACAGCTTCTTTACAAACACTGAAGTTCCTACTAAAGCCTGAGTAGACTGATAAATCAATGTGATGATCTAGTTATTTATCTCAGTGTTTCTGAGCTTTTTGTGGGAAGATTGAACTGAACAGTCTCCTCAGTTGAGGACATGAAAGACACAAATGATAAGCTGAGCATCAGTGTTGTACTGGACTTGTGTGTGTTGTGTGGAATGATGTTACATACATGACATTTACTGAAAATCACAGCTACCCTATTTATGGTTAAATGTGCAAGATATGGTGAATTGTTTATAGTATTAATTTAATTGTAATTTTCTAGTACAGTAATTTTGGCAAAAGTGGGACAGTGTTTGACAATATGTAGCTACTGTCAAAATTATATTGAATTTTTGACAAAGTGGATTTTTAGTACTGTCCCACTTTTGATGAATATGCCGGATAAAGTGGGCTCGGGGGACTGTGGAAGCAGCTAAACATTCTAAATGTTTGTGTATGGAAATGTTTTTAGGCTTTTAAAAAGATGTTAATTAGTTAATTAATGATAGATTGTGGTGAAGAAACAGAAAAGAAAAAGGAGTAAAAACAGCCATTAAAGCCATAAAAGCTCTCGGTTTAAGAGGAGTAAAGGAATGAAAGCAGGTTCAGTCCATTTAGATGCTGCTGCCCTCTTGTGGTCAGAGAACAGATTGAATGTTTTAAATGTTCCAAATGTCTCCAGATGTAGTTTAATACAAAACCTCATTCATAAAGAGCTTTTTCTTCAGTCTTTAACATTACAGTGTAGAACAACTCTCAGTTTAATAGAAGTGTAAAGATTCTATATAACAAGAAATATACAGTGTTCTGAAGGCCTGTAGACGTTACTGGAAAAGTGAATAAAGATGTTCCTACATTAGTGTGAGCAGTGCTCTGCATTAGAAACAAACACTGATAAGACACTGAAAGAGCTTTTATAATGTTATCAGTAACTACAGTGTAATATTCACTGATGCTCTGCTTTTGATTCCACATTTACTTCTATCACTTTGCTGAACATCAACAAAATATTTCAGAGCTTTATTGTGAGTCTGAAAGTGTTGATAAGAGTGATAACAGTAGTGATGTTAGCTGAGCTGAGTTTAACACTCATTAATGCTCTTCTCCCCAAAAGACTGTGTGAAGAACATGGCTGCCTGATGAAGAACCTCCTTCATGATGATGATGAAGGTGTGAGTGAGTCTCTCTCTGAATATTCCTGCTGTAACACTGAGTTTAGTCTAAAAGAGGCTCCATCAGTGAACTTCACTCCTTTTATTAGTATGAATATGATGGATTATTGTCTAGCGAGCACATATGGAGCGTTAGCTTGTGAGAAAAACAGTCTGTCATCTGAAGCAGATCATTCAGTTTCCTCATATGAGAACAGATTTCTGCCTGTTATTGTTATTCAGCTTAGAAAGTCAATAAATGGCCTCGTTCAGATGGACTGAGTTGAGAAAGAGCTGCCAGATATTTACAGATATTCCCACATTGAACTCTGTAATTAAAGTCTAAATGGATTATTTCCTTTAGTTCTACGAAGTTCATCACTAAATGTTTTCTCTGCAGTTAAAGCAGAAGAGAAAGAAGTGCTAACCTGCCCTGCCTGCATTAATAAATCACATCATTTTCAACACGGATTTCTGTATAATGATCATTTGTTGACTTTCCATAACGGTTAATAGTCCTTTCTCTTTCTGTTTAATCATCATCACTTTATTATTACTGAGATATTTTACTGAGATTTTACTCCCTTTTTGGAAAAGTTGTTTAGCTGGAAATCCTCGAATCAATCTGGCAACCCAGACTGGCGACTGAATGAAGGTGAAAGTGAAAGTAGTTGCTGCTTCTTTCGCTCTGGACGCTGAAGTGGAGAGTCGTGTGTGAGATTAGTGGAGAGTTTAAACTCGGTCTTATTATTATGGATCTGCTGTTATAGACAACAACCTGATATGAACTGATTTAAAATGTGGACATATTTCACCACCAGCAGCGATATGACTGTATGAAGAACAGCACAGGTGAGAGCAGTTAGCATCATGCTAATCAGGATAAAGATCACTGTGAACATCGAACCTGAGTGGAAAATAAGTATAAATCACTCTCTCTCTCTCTCTCTCTCTCTCTCTGTCTGTCTGTCTGTCTGTCTCTCTCTCTCTCTCTCTCTCTCTCTCTGTCTCTCTGTCTCTCTCTCTCTCTGTCTCTCTCTCTCTCTCTCTCTCTCTGTAGGATTGTATTAGTGTGAATCTGTAGGAGGAGATAAAGAGATAAAAATGGCGGCTGCAAGAAACAGTAAGTTAAACTTCCAGAACCTACAAAAGGTTTTACTGTGAACATCATTAAATAATATTCAATCAGAGAGTTTATTTTTATTGTGGAGACACACGAGACACAACTATTAACGTGTGTGTGTGTGTGTTTGTGTATGTGTGTGTGTGTGTGTGTGTGTGTTTGTGTTTCTACACAGATGAGTTTAAACTCTTTGGACCCCGTGATGGAAAGTTTCAGTCTGGCTCTGCTCTCACTCTCTCCTGTCACCTGTCTCCTGAAATCAGTGCTGTTGCCATGGAGATCAGGTGGTTTAAGGAGACAGACTGTGTTTGTCTCTATAAGAACAGGCAGGTGACAGAGGGGAGGGGCTACGAGGGCAGAGTGAGTCTGTTCACTCAGGAGCTGCAGAGAGGAAACGTCTCCTTACAGATCAGAGACTGTAGATGGTCAGATAGAGGAGTTTATCTGTGTCAGGTCATCATTGGAGACACAACAGAGGAGTGTACAGAAAGAGTGTGGGACGGTAAGTATTCATGAAGGTCACTCTACATAAACTCATCATCATCATCATCATCATCAGCGTCTCAGAAAGAAAGATGAAGAGACAGAAATGAGAAACAGATGTTCAGAATGGTGTTGTGTTCAGATAAAGGAGGTAAAACATACAGAGGATAAATGATGTTAATGTGGAGTGAAGGACAGATGGAGCATTTCAGTAGAAAAAACAGTGACTCTGTTTCTCACTCTGACACTAAACCTCCACATCATGACTGCAGAGTGGAAAACTTACAACTGCAACTCAACTAAAAACTTCTATGAGAACAAAATAAATATTTTAGGTGAAAAAAAAATATATAATTAAAATATCACATGTAATGTGTGACGTCACTACAGAAAAAATCCTGTTCTTAACTAATTAAAGCTGCAGATCCACAAACTACAGACACTAAAAGGGGCGTGTTCAGAGTTGAGCTGCGCGTAGTGAGGAGATAAAACCGAAACTGCGCATCTTTATTCTCACTTCAGTCGTATCTGTGGACTCGCGCGCTGTTCAGACTGGTTGCGCGCGGGGCGGAGTTGACCAATAAAGAGGCGAGTCTCAGTTCTCCGATTCAGACCCTGAACTTCAGCTCATTTCTCTTGAGCGATGTCCACTCCCGCCAGGAGCTGTATTAAGACCAGCGCCCCCGTCTGACCATTTGATGAAACCACAGTATTTCAAACTGAAATTCGTGTCTATAAAATGTATACAAACTAGTCGAGACCAAGTTTTAATATAAATATCATGTAAATGAATGCAAACATTCTTCAAAACAATTAAATATAGATCGTATCTTAATCTTATAATCTCAAAGAGTTTAAGGTGAAGAATGTGAGTGAATGTGATCCCCAGCCTGTAGATCTGGTGATGATGGTGAAGATTATCTAAATGTCTGACCATTTGATGAAACTACAATATTTTAAATTGAAATTCAAGTATTTGAGTGTAAAATACAAACTGTCTGAGACTAAATTTAAATATAAATATCATATATAACTAAAGCTAACATTTATCAAAACAATAAAATAAAAAGTTTATATATATAAATATATATATATATATATATATATATATATATATATATATATATATATATATATATAGATAGATAGATAGATAGATAGATAAGATTAAATCTTATCTTAATCTTCTAATCTTCTAAAGAGTTTAAGATGAAGAATGTGATCTCCAGCCTTTTCTTTAAAGGTACGAATCCTTTACCCTCCAAAAGAATATATTACAATCTCTCTCTCTCTCTCTCTCTCTCTCTACATATATATAGTTTTCATATATTATACTATATTTTCAAGAAAATATTTTCACAGTACCAAATAGTGTTTATTTTCTATTATTCCCATATTGATCATGAATAAATAATAATAATAATAATTATCATGTAAAGGGCATAAAAATTAGTGTTAGAATCTTATATTTATACTCTTTTAGGCTTTTTTTTTCTTCATTCAAAGTTGCTCCCTCTGTCTTTTTCAGAGCTGCAGGTAAAACTAATAAAGAAGCTCCATGTGAGGAACTGATGGGTCTGTTAGTCGTTCATTTAGAGAAAGACTCCATCTTCATGGAGTTGTACTGAAAGCATTGAGTGACAGTTCAGTAGTGAAGGATGAAGAACTACAGTACAGATGAGAAAAGGAGATTCTGATAAGGAGATAAAGAGTTAAAAAGACTCAAATATTATAACTGTAAAAGTGTTTCTCATGGAGATTTGACTAACTTTGTGTTTCCTTCTGTTTTTATTCCACAGCACTGTTGGTAAGTAAATAACTGTGTTTCCTTCTTTCTCTGCTGGTAGTGACTGATTTTATACTCTTATCACATGAACTACATTCAATACAGACATCAAGCAGCTACATAATATTGAGTTTCAGGTAAATTTCACGTGATGAACAAAGTCTCTGATCTCAGAATGAAAGCTTTTGACTTCATCTCCCTCCTTCCTTCCCACAATGCTCCTGTGCATAATCCCACTGCACTGCAGAAATGTAGAGACAGTGAAGTTCACTGATGAGAAAAAACACAACAAATAAAAGCAGTCTGGCTCTGTTGGGAGTGATGTCACTGTTCTTATGTGATGATGGAATATTTGAGTCGTTCATCATCAGTACATCATTATCATTAGAGTGTCTCTCATTACTGTAGTTTTCCTCTCCTCCATTACTGAAAACAGCCCAGAACACACACAGCAGGAGCTTCTGACACACACTCACACACACTATCTGCCTGTTTGATGAGTCTCTATATCAGTGACTCACAACAAGCAGCAAATAATGAAGAGTCAGCAGCTCTGAAAGACTTGATTACTGAGATCCTCTCATCTCCTTCACTTCCATTCACTTCATTTAAGAATGATCAGCTTCTCCTATTCAGTTTGCAGAGTCTCTCAACACAGATTTACTAGATGAACACGAAAGAGTTAAACTAATGTTAAAGAAGCTGAAGTTTGTCTCTCATGACTGCACACATTAAATCTTTAGGCTGTTTTATTCACTTCTACAGTCCGTAATAAGACCGATAAGAGAGGAGAGAATGAAGAAGGAGGAGTGAAAGACACACTGAAACAGACAAGACTAAAACTTTTTTTTTGTACATTGATTCTATAGAAATGAAATTTCTCTTCACAGCTCAGTCCATGAACACAATAACAACTGACTGTGAGAGCAGATTTCCCTCCATCACTGAGTGGAATATTCGGGTTTCATCAGCTGTGTTTGTGTAGTTCCTTAAATAGAGACCTATTTTAATGACCAGTACAGACACTTTCACATAATATCATCAATTAATTATGGCACAGCAGGAAACTAAAGAGAGAGAGAGACAGGCAAAAATTATGATAACAAATATAAAACAGAAACAAAAAAATTCTAAAATGTAACACTGTCAGTCTGTATCAGATCCTCATAAAGAAAAAAAAAACCCAAACAACAGAGCAGCATCGTCCACATTCACTGTGTTGTTAAATGTCCAGTTTTCCTAATATTTAAATATAATAATTCACTTAAGGTTTCATGCATGAAATCATCACATTATATTATTTATTTCACAGTGCGGTTCAGGGACAGAAGCACAGAGAGGTGAGTATAATTCAGTGTGTAAAGCTTTTATTGTGATGAGCTGATTGTTGATGAAGAATGTTTGTGTTGTAAAGACTGAATGTATTTATCTGTACTGTGTGTTCAGAGTGTTCAGCTGAACATCATCAGCAGAGAGAGTTACTAACACACACTTCAGCTCTGTATGTATCACTATAGTGTAGAGCTCCCAGCAGCATCTGATCTACACACTGATACTGACAGATTACAAAGTGAAGTTTTTCACACTGATTGTCATTAATATAATCAGAAATTTGTGTTAGAATAATTTCCTTTTATGAACTTTAACAACAGTGTCACGTTTATATCAGCGTTAATATTTAATACTGTTCTATAAAGGCAATAATGTAGCTATTAATGAAATATGATAACTGGTCAGCTGGATTTTAATGCAGAGTTTTCTGGACAGAACAAACAGGTTGCAAACAGTCAGAGAAGCAGCAGAGAGTCAGACTTATTGAGGAGAGAATCAGACTAACTTCTCAGAAGCTACTGAGCAGCAGATCTCAGACTTTAAACTAGCTTCACTTTTTTGATCTTTTTAATTTGCAGTTTCAGTTTTAGAACTCATTCATTTTTCCTCTCAGACTGAGAATATCAGACATGAAAATGATCTGAAAGAGGAGAAAATTATTACTGTAAAGTGTTTAAAACTCTAACTGTAAATACAGCAGCAGCTAGAGATCTTTAAAGGGCTCATATCCCACGTTGTCTAGTATTTTTTTCCCCCCAAAGTCCACTTATAACATTTGTCTGGTTTTATATATAAAAAAACAGTCAAAATTAATTTTACTTGATCATTTTCCATCCTCTCTTTATCAATTAATGTGCCTCATTAAAAAGCAGTTCAGGCTGAAACAATCAGTGTTAATGGGCGGGGCTAAACTGCTGTTGGCTAAATAGACAGATATATGTAAATGTGTTTTTGTGACGTCACAACCACAGTGAACTCAAAACAGGCTGTATAATAGTTTCTATATATGGACTGTATGAACTGGAGAGTGAACAGCACATTCTGAAACTTTAAATCTGTTGAAAATGATATTTTCTCTGATGTGGGTCTTTAAAACTACACCACAGCTTCATGTCTTACTAAACAAAATACTGATCTAATGTTTTGTCTTATATGTTTTCAGTATTTTAAAAGTTCTTATTTTGTCTCTGATCAGAGTCTCGAGTTGGGGACGTCTTTGTTCGTCAGGTGAGCATATTATTCTACATAGATCACACTTTTAAAAAAGATGGTTCTTCAAAGGTTCTTTAGTAAAGAATATGGTTCTGTATAGAACCATTAACAGCCGACAAACATTTTGCAGGATTAAAGGTTTCTATGCATCATCAATGGTTCTTCAGATTGATGGAGAATGTGTTGTTTATGGCTCTGTATAGAACCTTTTTAAAAAGTTTTCCTCATAGCACCTATAAGGGTTCCTCTATTGTATACAAGCTTGACATAACAGCTGGATGTAACAGTAAAAGAACCGTTTTGTTGCTGTATAGAACGCTTTTCAAAAAGGTCCTAAATAGAACGAAGAACAGCACGTTCTCCATCAATCTGAAGAACTTTTGATGGTGCAGAGAAAGCTTTAATCCTGCAAAGGGCTCTTTGAATGTTCATGGTTCTATATAGAACCCCTTGAAGAACCATCTTTTTAAAATGTTTCCTTAATAATCTGCTTTAATATGATTTTGAAATCTATGAATATAGACATCATTATTGTGTGTAAAAGCTGTTCAGGGCTGATTGTTGATAAAGTCTACATTAGTTTATTTTCTTCTTTTCTGTTGATTCTCTTTCATGGTGTTGAGTTGAGTGTTATTACAGTGTTATTACAGTGTTGATGCTGATCAGTGTTCTGTAAGTGATCATGATCCTCAGAAGCTGCAGAGGTGAACTACTTAAATTCCTCTTTTCTGATGCTGCGCTTCTGTGGATCTGTTACTCATTTCCCATGCGCTCAAATATTAATTAAAATAAAATTATATTTATTCTTATTTATTATTTATTTTGGTCAATTTCAATCAATACATTTTCTGTATTTACTGTTATTAATATCAGCTCTCAGTGATTAATACTGACACATCAACAGTGATTTAAACAGAGAAACAGTTATTGATCATATAACATACAGAATGACATCATGACTGAATCTTCACACTGTTTTATTCTCTTTTAAAGATGAACAGAAAATGGACAGAAGAGGAGAGACTGAAAATGGAGGAATCTGCTCTGCTGACCGGTGAGGATGGACATGTTTATTTTTGCAAGCGTGTGTGTTTTTGAGGTTATGTTGGTATGATGTGTAGATCAGACTGCTGGTGAGTTTTATAGATTTATGAGGTTTTACAGCTTTTACTGAGGTTTTACATCAATACATCATTATATTGAGCAGTTTATATTAAAGAGAAATGATACTGAACCGTCTGTGTGATTCATTTTAAAGAGAGATTAACTGTTTCTCCTCTATATGAATCATTATACTGAATCGGTTCAAAGTCAGAGTTAAAACGCATTTCAGACTTTTTACTGACTTGGAATTTAGACTAAACTCCTTTTGCTTTGAATGACACTATTTATTTATTTATTTATTTATTTATTTATTTATTATTTATTTATTTATTTAGAGAATAGTTCAAAATCACTAGCCAGTACATGACTAGCAAGCACAGCTTTGAACACTTCACACACAAAATTATAATATTATAATAATCCAATTGATATTATAATAATACAAAATATATTATGAAAATACAAAAAACCTTTACTTAATTGCAGAAAATATGCGTTTCACTAATGACCTTTCTAAATGTTAATTATCAGATTTTGGGATGCATTTATTTCAAAACAGTGGGGGCTAACTCCTCACAGTGTGGGTGTGAAGGGTGGAGTCTCACTTCCTGCTGTAAAATGCAGGGGTGTGGCTAAAATACGGCTCCACATATGGACTAAAAACTTTGTGTTCCAGTAGTGACATAAATAATTTTATAAATAATGATTTTTTACTGAAAAATTAAACTGATGATAAATCTAAATCTTTTAAATATTTAAAGCTAATAACAATAAAAACATTAGTGTTATTGTCACAAGTGTAAATTTAGGGTTTAGTGTTTGGGACAGACATGTCTCAGTAGAAAGTACACAGTAAATAATGATTCTTTAAGTTTAAATAGATCATAACATCATCCTCGTAAACTCTGACTACTTTAAAATGCTACTGTTTTTTTTTTTTTTTTTTTTTTTTTTTAATGTGGGACTGCAGTTTAAATTAATTTGGTAGGATGGTCCATATACACTATATTGCCAAAAGTATTCGGACATCTGCCTTCACACACATATGAACTTGAGTGACATCCCATTCTTAATCCATAGGGTTTAATATGATGTCAGCCCACCCTTTGCACCTATAACAGCTTCAACTCTTCTGGGAAGGCTTTCCACAAGGGTTAGGAGTGTGTTTAAGGGATTTTTTTGACCATTCTTCCAGAAGCGCATTTCTGAGGTCAGACACTGATGTTGAACAAGAAGGCCTGGCTCACAATTTCCGCTCTAATTCATCCCAAAGGTGTTCTATCGGGTTGAGGTCAGGACTCGGTGCAGGCCAGTCAAGTTCTTCCACACCAAACTCGCTCATCCATGTCTTCATGGACCTTGCTTTGTGCACTGGTGTGCAGTCATGTTGGAACAGGAAGGGGCCGTCCCCAAACTGTTCCCACAAAGTTGGGAGCACGAAATTGTCCAAAATTTCTTGGTCTGCTGAAGTGAAAGGAACTCTTAATGCTGAAGGACACCTTAAGTTTGGAGGTCTGTAGCGATTGACTCTGCAGAAAGATGGCGACCTCTGCGCACTACGCACCTCAGCATCCGCTGACCCCGCTCTGTCATTTTACTTGGCCTTTCGTTCTCAGTCGCTTCCACTTTGTTATAATACCACTCACAGTTGACTGTGGAATATTAAGCAGGAGGAAATTTCACGACTGGACTTGTTGCACAGGTGGCATCCTATCACGGTACCACGCTGGAATTCACTGAGCCCCTGAGAGCGACCTGTTCTTTCACTAATGTTTGTAGAAGCAGTCTGTATGCCTAGGTGCTTGGTTTATACACCAGTGGCCATGGAAGTGATTGGAACACCTGAATTCAATAATTTGGATGGGTGAGTGAATACTCTTGGAAATATAGTGTATTTATATCAGTCTCAGATGTATAGTCATGGGCAAAACTTTGGGACCCCCTGGTCAAATTCCATGTTTAGTTGATTTTGTAAGTGAAAATAGGTTAATACATCCACTGCAGAGAACACTTTTCTGCAGTTCTTCTGCACATTGTAATAAACAATTAGTGTGTATTTACTAAATTTAACACTGAATTGATTTGGATTTTCCGCCAATATATTAAACTCAGCAAATAAATAGAAATTATGCACTAAAATGTGCAAATAATGCCACGTTTAAGTGTGTTCACTGAGCTTATTTCCACTTAGAAAATCAACAAAACACACAATTTAGCAAGGGGTCCTCAAATGTTTGCATATGACTGTAAATTAGTAAATCTAAAAATGTTCTCTGTAATGATGTTTTGTTGTTTGTGGAGTCCTTTCAGATATGAAGAGCTGAATGGTGTCTGTCTGTGATGTGTGTTATTTGATTGAACAGAGCTGTGAGTTCAGAGTTTGATACAGTGTGTTTGACATGGTCATTTGTGTTTATCTGGACATTCAGTAAATCTTCAGTGAGTTGGGTCTAAAGGCTGATGTAGATGCAGATGTGAGTTTAGATCCTCAGAGGTTTCTCTGTTTTTTTTCTCTTATTATGGAGGGAATGTTGGCTGGATGGATGTTCATATTTGTTCATTTGTAAAAGCTTTTTTCTTTAATATTTCCGCATCATCATGCGCATAGACAGCTGGATGCAGAATCGGTGACTGGTGTTCTTTAAAAGGTCATTCAGATTGACTAGTGCTGTGTGGTCAGTTGTTGGAGAAGATGCAGTGTCCTCATTCACGCTAGAGGAGGTGTTTACAGCCTTTTCCTTTTCCAGGCTGCTGCTACTCTTTTGTATTGGTTTCAACATTAGGACAACAGCAGGGACTGTTAAATTATTACTACAGATACACCGATATGGGAGGTTTTTTGTTATGGGTCGATGCTGATATTCGATGTACTTTTCACATGTATATCTTCCTAAAATGATACATAAACATTTATAAAACGTAGAAATTGGGACTAGATCTTCATTGATTAGCATTACAGAGAAATGTAGTATTTATTTATGTATAGTTAAGTGCAGTTAAAATGAATAAAATATAGATGTTTTAGCCCTGCATCTCCTAAACATTCTGCTCTTCCAGAGTAAAATAAATACATCAGCTGTGGGTTTTATCAAAATGATAAACTTGAAAGAAAGTGCAGAGCTAATTATGCTGTGTACCAGTGTTAATGCTTGTTTATAAACAAAAAGTGTTACCAGTTTTAATGCTTGTATATGAACAAAACAAGCAAAATCTTCATCGTTCATAAACACTGAATAACATCACACAGATATTTGATAAACATCCAAATACAAATACAATTTGAATAGCAAATCATAATCATGAATTAATTTTCTTTATTTTGTAAATTAATATTCCCTTTAAAAATATACAGTATAAAGTGATTTTCACACTGTAACAAGTGTTATTTCTGATATGTTTGTCTTTATTTTGGTTTACACTCTGTAAATGTGACAAAACACAAATTAATCTTTTAAATCTGAATCATCATTTCAGAATTAAAAGAGGAGAGTCTTTCTGTACTGAAGAACTTAATGAGCTTAACTGAAGAAAAAAAAGCAGAGGAGGAAAAGCTGAAGAGAGCCGAGACTGAACTGGAGAACACAGCCAAACAAACACACAGTAAAGAAGAAGAACTAAGAGAGAGAGAGACCATCAGAGATATCAGTCTGGAGATCAGAGAGATGCAGGAAAGAAGATTGAGAGAAAGAGTGGAGATGAGACAAAGAGAGGAAGAGGAGATCAGAGGAAAGATGAGAGCTGTTGTGGATGATTTGAGGAGCTCAGAGGAAGCAGTTAAAAAGATAAAGGAGAGAATAAAACAGCATGAAAAACAAAAACATAAATTTGAGGAAAAGTTATCAGAGGAGAGAAATGAGGAGAAGAGGAGAGAGCTGGAGAGAGAAGTGAAGAGAGAGGATGAGCAGATGAAGGAGGCTGAAGAGGAGCTGAACAGGATGCAGAAGGAGAGCATGATGATGGTGGTGAAGAAGCTCAGACTGGAGATGGAGATCAGAGAGAAGAATGCAGTAAAAGCAGATACACACTTCATAAAGTCCATCCTGCCTGAGTTCCAGCAGAGTGTTCAGACTCTTATGAGCAAGAAGCAGAAAGAGTTTGATAAAGAGGTGAATGAAAAAGATAGAGAGATAGAAAGACTGAAACTAAACCTCTCAGAGATGGAGAAAGAAAAAGAAAAGCAACTAGAAGAGAGAAAAAAGACTTTAGAAGAGAAAAACAAACAACTTGAACAAAAAGACACTGAATTAGAAAAACATACAAAAACAATAGAGAACAAAAATAAAACAATAGATGAGAAAAATGAATGGCTGAGAGAGAAGGAGACTCTACTGGAGATCACAGTGAAAGAGGTGGAAAGCAGTAAAAAGCAGCTGGAGACTCTGAGAAAGGAGCTGCAGGACAAGAGCAGCAAACTACAGGAGATGATGATCCTACTGGAACAACAGAAAACTGAACTCACCCGTCAGCAGAAAGAGTTAGAAGAGAAAGAACAACAACTTAAACACACAGGTAAGAATTTAAGACACAGACTGATTGTAAAATATCTGACTGATAAATTAATATTCTGTCTTTATCATTTCAGCACAACAGAATTCTGACCTACAGACTGAAACTGAAACACTGATAGCTGGTGAGTTTACATGTTATATATATATATATATATTATATATATATATATATATATATATATATATATATATATATATATATATAAACTGTGTCTTAATTAAATAATGTATTAACAGTTGAAAGTTGGACACACCTATACAAATAAGAATATTCTGCCATTTTTATCTAAGTGCTTCTGGCCAATGACTGCTGGAATAGGCTCGAGCAACCCCGGCGACCCAGAAGGATAAGCGGTTTAGATAATTTGTGTGTGTATCTAAAGGCTGTTGCTCGAATATGAATCAAGTTGCATCTAAGACAAATACATTTAGTCACGTTAATGCAAATGTATGAAATGAATGTCTTTTCAGCACTAAATGTACGGCCTTTAATTCTGCTGGAAAAGTGTCTCTGGTTGTTGAGAGTGAATGTGTGTGAAGCTGAAGACTGAGGGGCTAATTTCAAAAAGAATCTAAAATATGTGATATTTTTATACGCTGTACACTGTTTTCGCTCTCTGCATGATTATATGTATTGATTTACATTTTTGATGTTTTAACTATAATTCTAAAATTTGGAAAATGGTAAAAAAAACAAAAAAACAAACAAAAAAAAAAATCATCTATGAGAATGAGGGTGTGTCTAAATGTGTCCAAATATTTGACTTGTAATAGTTTTTATCTGTCATTAATTAATCTCTACTATTAATTGTCTTATTATTGTTTTCACCTCTTATTATTCCAGTTGATTTTTTTCTTGGCTTTCCTAACAGAGACATAAAATCTATTCCACTTTCATGTTTCCTTACCAGCTAATTAACTCACTCACTCTGCTGTTCAGTCTCAGTTCTGTGTATCTGTCAGATTGGCAAACTGTAAATTCAGAAAGTCTCAATTCATTTTTTCTTATAGATTTAACAGAAAAGACCAAACAGCTTGAAGAAACAAAAAACATTTTAACTGAGAGAAACAAACAACTGATGGAGAGAGTAAAAAAAGTTGAGGAGAAAGACAGACTTCTGACAGAAAATACAACAACACTTCAGATGAAGGAGAAGATTTTAGAAGAGAAAGACAAACTTCTCACAGAGACACAAGATGAACTGAGACAAACAACAAAGACATTAGAGAATCATAGAAAACAAGTGGAAGGAATGGAGAAAAGACTTGTGGAGAAAGAAGAAGAGTTAAAAGAGACAAAACAAGAACTGAAAGATAAAAACATGATTATAAAAGAACATTTAGAGACTGTTGATAAGAGAGATTCATTATTAAAGGAAACTAATGAAAGATTAGAAAGTGTTAATAAACAGCTTAAAGATAAAGACTCACAACTGGAGAATCAGATCAAACTGCTGAGAGAGAAAGAGACTCTACTGGAGATCACAGTGAAACAGCTTGAAGAGAAGGAGAGACTTCTAAGTGAGAGAAACACACAGCTAATGGAAAGAGACAAGCAGGTTGAGGAGAAAGACAGACTTCTAGAGGAGAGAAACAAGCAGCTGCAGGAGAGAACAGATCCAGACTCAGCAGCTCCAGCCAGGAGGAGACACAGCAAAGATTGGAATCCTCCACTCTGTAAGTAACTACTAAGGTTGCATGAAGATGCTTAAAATGAAATTCTTTATGTACATTGTTATAAAACACTGTAGGTTTCTAACTAATTAAAATACAGATGTATATTCCAAGAAAAATATTATTTAATATGGATTAAACCAAATATAACAACTGTCAAGTGGTAATGTTTAGATTTAAATGTTTAGATTTAAATTTCCTAATATAAACTACTAAAACTATTTATCTTATTCAGCTCCGCCCATTTAAAGGAAGCAGCTCTTCACACTCTTCAAAGACTTGTGTTCTTGGGAAGAACGTCCCCTGAAAGCATGACCTTTCTAGAATATGAGAACAGAGATTGTGTGTATAACAGTTTGAGATGTGTTGTGTTCTCACTATTTATACTGTGCCGTTCTCTGAGCTCAGCTGCCTCACCAGCTCTAACAGTAATTAGTCTACAAGCTCATAATGTTATACAAGAAATTAAATCCAGTCTGATGTGGCGGCTCATATACAAAAATGTTTTTATTGCCAGACTGAGTAAGTTCATTTTGCCACTGGCCTGTTTTGAGTAAATTCATAGATCTGCAAAGTGTGGAACAAAACTGAGTAAAAGTATTATAATGCAGCCTCACTGCAGGAGCTCTTTACCTAAAGGAGGAGCAGCTGAGCTGCTGTGCTGATCCAGAGGAGATCCAGGCTGAGGAGAAAGAGACGCTACTCACTATAATAACACTTATCTTCACCTGTGGCTTACTGCAATGCCCTTTGCTATGTTAGAAACAAGCTAATATGTTCTAAAAATAGCCATTTAATCACTTTTAATAATAAACATAGTTAGCAAATTCTTTCCTTCATTATTGATTTAAAAACTATATCATAGAACACTTTTAAAATATATAATTAAACAGCTCTTTATTGATCAATAGCCACTAAACAAGAAGATAAAAGACAAAATTAAAAGGATGGAGGCCCTCATGTTTCTTCTGTGCAAGTGAAAATGTAGTCAATAACATAATCTCCTCTGTGCTGGTTGTTCTGTTTCATAGTCAGTGAAGAGACTCCAGAATCTACAGCACCACTCAGGAGAAGAAACAGTAAAGAAGGACTTCCCCCATATAGTAAATGATTCCATTAATTTCCTATACTGTCTTAAATATTTCTTTATTTATATTTTTAGTATAATTACATCACACAGTAAGAGATTAAATACCTCATTGTTGTTGATTCACAGTGAGTGGAGAATCCTGTAGTTCAGCCTCTCCAGAGTCAGTTCCTGTGTCAGCGCTCAGGCTGGTGCTGCTGGGGAGGACTGGATGTGGGAAGAGAACAGCAGGAAACACCATCCTGGGCAGAGAGGAGAGGAGCCAGGCTGGAGCATCTACAGTGAGGCAGCAGAGTGAGAGCAGACAGGGGGAGGTGGCTGGGAGGCAGGTGACTGTGGTGGACACTCCTGACTGGTTCTGTCCTGGACTCTCTCTGGAGGAGCTGAGACAGGACGTGGGACTCTGTGTCCATCTGTCTGCCCCAGGACCCCACGCCTTCCTCCTAGTCATACCAGTGAAGCAGTCTACAGGAGAGGAGAGAGGCATGCTGGAGAAAATGGAGGAGATTTTTGGAGAGAGATGTTGGAGGAACACCATGATCCTTTTCACTGTTACTGATGAAGTCCAAGAGAAGAACATTGAAGAGTTTATCCAGTCAGGAAACCAGGAGGTGCAGAGACTTGTAGAGAAATGTGGGAACAGGTTTCACTGTCTCAGCATTAAGGAGAGTGGAGATGGTTCTCAAACCTCAGAGCTGCTGGAGAAGATAGAGAAGATGGTGGAAGGAAACAGAGAGAAATTCTACAGCAGTGAGATCTACCTGGAGACAGAATCTCAGATCAGAGAAATAGAGAGAAGAATTATGAGAGAAAGAAAGGAGATAAGAGAGAGACAAGAAAGAGAAACTAGAGAGAAATTGGAGAGATGTGTACAAGAGATTACAATGAAGTTTGAGGAATTTAAATCTAAATGTGATGAACAAATAAATCAGCATGAAGAGCGAATAACTAAACTAGAGAGGGAGTTAAAAGAGGAAAGAGACGAGAAGAGAAAGGTAGAGCTGAAGAGAGAGCTGGAGAAAGAGATTCAGCGAAGAAATGAAGTTCAGTTGGAGCTGGAGAGACTGAAAGAAGAGACTGAAAAGGAGAGGAGAGAGATGGAGGAGAGACACAGACAGGAGATGGAGGAGATCAGGGAGACGTATGAAAGAGAGGCTAAGATGGAGACAGAGAGGAACCTCATGAAGATCATCCTGCCTGAACTCCAGCAGAGAATCTGGGAACTCATGACAAAGAAACAGAAAGAATTTGATCATCAAATGGAGGAGAAGGAGCGAGAGTTAGAAACACTGAGAGAGAAATCGAAACAGAAACGGAAACGAAGACGGAGAGGGAAACACAGTAGGAGGAGATGATCATCAGGAGGACGCCAGAGGACAATTTAGCAAGTTAACACAGCAACTCTTTTGCGGTACACTCAGTGTTCCATTTACTGACTGACTTTAAGTAGAGCTGGATCAAATAATTAGAGTGTATGAGTACTAGTTCATTACTAATTATTCAGAAGCTTCGTCTTCTTTAACCCACTTTGTAGCCTCATTTGTATTCTAGGACATTCTTTTGAATTCCTAGGTCAGAGTTAGAGGTTTATTTGTCACAAAACATTTTATAATAAAACCAGGAAAAAAATGGCAAACACTTAATGATGATCATGACATTGAAATCATGTCATAATGTCAGCTAAAAGTAAAAATGTTTTACAGCCCATTTTACACGTTTACCAGGGGTGTGTATTTGTATTTGTTGAGGGCACTGGAACTTGTTGAGCCCTCAGTCCTGAACAACATTCATTGTTCTAGTGAAGGAACTGTTAGCATTGCAATATGAATCTAGCTATTTACTCAGTAAACTAAGATTTTAAAAGATTTACATATTGAACTTCTGTATCATCTGTAATCTAGTTAAGCAAAAATCTAGTCACATTTATTGGTCTCCTTATTGGGACTGACATAACATTAAAGAACATCTGGCTCATGGTATCTTATTAGACGTCCATCATAAGGAGTGATAGTTACTGTGATCATACAGAATGTAACTGTATTATTGCAGTTTTACTGTATTTCATTTTAGTGTAATTATACAGTATATTACTGTGTCACTGCAATATCCCTTTTTTTTTACTGTGGTTATACAGTATTTTATTGTATTAGTGTATTAATGAGTGAGTTTGCCCTCCCTTACCACTAGATAACGGGATATGGGACAGTGTGAAATTGCATACATATTTCCAGGTTTTCTTTATGTACAGTTTGGTCAATAAGTAGTAGGACATTTTTTTTTGTCATTTAACAAAAAGGTTTTTGTTATTTAAGCTGTCTGGCACAGCATGTTGGAGTTGAAATAAAAAAAAATGAATATAAACTCAAACTCTTTAATTTGAATTACAACCATTTTCATTCATCATCCTCTCCCCCTCAAACTGTTCACACAGCTGAGTTTGTGTTCACAGAGCTGAGAAGCCTCTCAATGTGCTGATATGAGTGACTGTTTTACTGTGATTGAGTTTCACAAACATTACACAATTAAATTAAAATAGTAAACGTATAAATAAGTGTGATAAACAGAAAAATAAACAAACATAAAATTCTGCTTGAATGAAGAGCAGGTCTGATGAAGGAGTCTACAGTGGAGGACTGTGATGTCATTCTGCTTTCTGTCCTGTTGCTTGATGAGCTGGAACTGACATTGATGCTGCACTGCAAGATCTTTATTGGAGTAACTTCATGTAGGAACATTCAGGATCATCTCGCTGATTCATTCTTTTCTGTCAGATCAAATCTGTTTATGTCGCAGATCCTGCTGTTCTAGTGTAGATCTGTTAGGTCATTTTTCACAGCAGGACTAAGAGAAAAATTTAGAAATGCATGACATGTGATATAGTCATAAAGGCAAAAAAAAAAAGAGAACACCACACATTGAATTTCAAAAGTTGAACAGATTCTAAAACTTAATTTAAAAAAATATTTTACCAGGATAATTTTTTTTAAAAACAGGTTAACACGGTCATACAAACACACTTAACCACACTCACACACACTAGATTTAGATTCAGTCAGGCAGATGCACATGTGAAAAAAAAACAAACAAGATAAGATTATTCGCATGCAGCATGAGTTGACAAATGGAAGAATGGTTGTATGAAGAGAGAGATAGGAAAGGAGAGAGATACAAGTAAAAGCTAGCTAGTTAGTAAATACAAACAGCAGCAGAAGAGAAATTTAGAAGGAGATTTAATGGTTGGTGTAATGACATCTAGCAGCAGTATTTGGACAAGTCGTAATAGAGCCATGCACAAAAAAGCTGTGTTACTTTGGTGAAATAATGACTGCAGTGAAATAAACATACTGTTAACAAAAACATGAATAGTAACTATGAGGCTTATTCCTTTTCTCATATGTTTACTTCAATGATTTTGTATAGTGTTGTACAAAGGTTTTAGGCAGCAATGAAAATCATTTAAAACATTTATTTTGACAATAATAGTGTCTTTTATGGAGTTAAATTTGCACCAAATGTTTCAAATAAAATCATACAATCCAATATCAATTATTAAAATGTCCAAAATACATTGCAAATAATCAAACTTAATTTTTATATCAAACAATCTTGTAAAAAATATTACTACTCATTTTATCATTACTCATTTTGCAAGTTTTTGCTTTCATTTTATATAATATAGTATCTCACAAAAGTGAGTACACCCCTCACATTTCTGCAAATATTTTATTATATCTTTTCATGGGACAACTCTATAGAAATGAAACTTGGATATAACTTAAAGTAGTCAGTGTACAGCTTGAATAGCAGTATAGATTTACTGTCCTCTGAAAATAATTCAACACACAACCATTAATGTCTAAATAGCTGGCAACACAAGTGAATACAATTCACAGTGAACATGTCCAAATTGTGCTCAAAGTGTCAATATTTTGTGTGACCACCATTATTTTCTAGCACTGCTTTAACCCTCATGGGCATGGAATTCACCAGAGCTGCACAGTTGCTACTAGAATCCTCTTCCACTCCTCCATGATGACATCATGGAGCTGGTGGATGTTAGACACCTTGCGCTGCTCCTTCTTCTGCTTGAGGATGCCCCACAGGCCCAGACCATGATGCTACCACCACCATGCTTGACTGTAGGCAAGAGACAGTTGTCTTGGTACTCCTCACCAGGGTGCAGCCACACATGCTGGACACCATCTGAGCCAAAGTTGTTTATCTTGGTCTCGTCAGACCACCGGACATGGTTCCAGTATTCCAAGTTCTTGGACTGCTTGTCTTCAGTAAACTGTTTGCGGGCTTTCTTGTGTGTCAGCTTCAGAAGAGGCTTCCTTCTGGGACGACAGCCATGCAGACTGAGTTGATGCATTGTGCGGCGTTTGGTCTGAGCACTGACAGGCTGACCTCCCACTTCTTCAACCTCTGCAGCAATGCTGGCAGCACTCATGTGTCTATTTTTTGAAGCTAATCTCTGGATATGATGCTGAACACGTGGACTCAACTTCTTTGGTTGACCCTGGCGAGGCCTGTTCGGAGTGGAACCTGTCCTGGAAAACCACTGTATGACCTTGGCCACCGTGCTATAGCTCAGTTTCAGGGTGTTAGCAATCTTCTTATAGCCTAGGCCATCTTTGTGGAGAGCAACAATTCTATTTCTCACATCGTCAGAGAGTTCTTTGCCATGAGGTGCCATGTTGAATATCCAGTGGCCAGTATGAGAGAATTGTACCCAAAACACCAAATTTAACAGCCCTGCTCCCCATTCACACCTGGAACCTTGTCACTCTAACGAGTCACATGACACCAGGGAGGGACAACGACACAATTGGGCACAATTTGGACATGTTCACTGTGAGGTGTACTCACTTGTGTTGCCAACTATTTAGACATTAATGGCTGTGTTGAGTTATTTTCAGAGGACAGTAAATCTATACTGCTATACAAGCTGTACACTGACTATCTCAAGTTATATCCAAGTTTCATTTCTATAGTGTTGTCCCATGAAAAGATATAATAAAATATTTGCAGAAATGTGCAAATACAGAAATGTGATCACTCAGCCATCATCCTTTTGCGCTGACTTCTGCTCGCCAGCTCATCTTGCTTTCCCCATCAAAACTATCTGAAAAAGTGACAAATCTACAGCGGCATAACAACAGTCTCTGTCAATTAATCCGCCAATGGCCGTGATTTTCTCTCGTGTGTAATTCCAATATGATATTTAATTGATTTTAGAGTGTATACCACTGGTTTCACACTCTTCTGGAAGTTTAATGATGTTCTTTGCCTTACGTTAGTCTAGGTTGATGTAAGGAAGTCCATCTGCAGGCCAGTCATTTTCCCATCATGCATGCATCCTAATTTTTTGTGGTGATTGGCAAATTTCTATGACAATCATCATATTAAAAACTGGCTCTTAGATCACTGTGAAAATCAGTGCTCTGTGTGAGCACCAGAACACAAAGGGAGGCAGAACATTAATAGAAAGCTAATTAAATGCTTATAAAAACAAATGCTAAAGTCAAAAGACAAATGCTGAGTGTGCAAAACAAAGATAAGACTCCATCATGTGATGGATACAAATGGTAAGTCTGACTGTTATGTATACAACCCCAATTCCAAAAAAGTTGGGATGCAGTGTAAAGTGTAAATAAATGTATATAAAAACAGAATGCAATTATTTACAAATCTCATAGACCCATATTTTATTCACAGTAGAACATAAAACACATATCAGATGATGAAAATGAGACACTTTACCATTTCATGAAAAATGTTGAACTGGCCTGCCTGCAGTCCAGACCTTTCACCAATAGAAAAAACATTTGACACATCATGAAATGGAAAATCCAACAAAGAAGACCCAGGACTGTTGAGCAGCTAGAATCTTACATCAGGCAAGAATGGGACAACATTCCTCTCCAAAACTCCAGCAATAGGACTTCTCACTTCCCAGATGTTTACAGACTGTTGTGAAAAGAAGAGGGGATGCTACACAGTGGTAGACGTGGCCTGATTTTTTTGAGATGTGTTGCTGCCATCAAGTTCTAAATGAGTTAATGTTTTTCAAGAAATGGTAAAATGATATGTGTTCTATGTTCTATTGTGAATAAAAATGGCTCTGTGAGATTTGCAAATAATTCCATTCTGTTTTTATTTACACTTATTTGCATTTTACAGAGCCTCCCAACTTTTTTGGAATTGGGCTTGTCTGATGTTAGTTATTTGGGCAGAGAGTTTATTTGTTCCAGAAACACTAACATCAGAATAAATACAATGAATGAAAAAAATCCATTGTGATTTGATGTGTGAGCTGAACCATTTTCTAAATCCAGCATTTACAGTCAATATCTAGTTTATCTAATCAGTCCTTCATTAATTAAATCAGGTGCTCCTGATGGAATTTAACAAATCTATG